TTTCCCCCTGGGGAGGGGGTAAACTTTACTATAGTTTATATAGGGAAATCACATTTTGGACCAACATTTGTTTAATTTCCATTGGAAGTAATTCAATTTGGATTAGCATTATCAGTATTAGGTAGCAGTTTGATAGTATAGCAAAATTTATTATGGTTTATAATGGCAAATGATACTTTGAATATTACATGTTAATAACTTGATTGGAATTATAACCTTGAATTGACAGTTTGATACTTTGAAAATTTTGAGCCAGCCCTACCCCCAAGGGCTGTAGGGTGGAGCTCAAAGGAGTCAGTGTGCTAAAATTTCTTCATTTTCCTTGTTAAGAATCAGAGGTGCTAGTTTCAAATACTTTTTAGTCTGAAATCTGTATGCTAGATATTGAGTAAGGTGGTTTTATTGTTTTTTGTCACTTTGAATAATATTTCTGTATTTAAAAACAAAATCAACTCTCTGTATAAATATATCAGGTGACCGTTAAGGCCCATGGGCCTCTTGTTATATTAATTAGTAATACATGCACAGAGAATATGATGTGCAATAATTTTACTGTGATGTGATAAATGGACCCTTTGCTTATACTGTTAAATGATGAATATTTGACCAGAAAAAAATGACACAGTATGGTACGGTATGGTATTGTGAAGCATGCATGATGACAATAATCATTATGGTGAAATGAACTGTGCTATATTATACACTGATATGGTATGGTATTGTGGAGCATAGTGAAATGAACTGAGATCAATTTACCATTGGCATCACACGTCCATATTATATCGGTATATGTGTTCCTTACAATTCTAAGTAAATTACTACAAAAGTATAAACTGGAAAACAAATGGATATCTGTGATCATAAAGAAGGTTCCAGTTTCACAATTGTAATGAATAGGGCTGCAACAATACACAATATTTGTTTAGAGGTCATGAAATGCTACAATATTTTCAGGATTTTGCCTTTTTTAATTAAGGGTACTCATGTCCATTCCCACATAGCGAGTGACAGCTCCAGCTCGGCATGCAGGTCAAAAGGCGTAAATTGTGTGAAACTTTAAAGTTATAACCATTATGGACCAAGTCTATTTTTTGCAGTAATATTGCCATTAAAAATATGCAGCGTATCTTTATGCTTTTCTTCTGCTATTACCATATATATCATGATACGTATCGTATTGTGACCACAGTATCGTGATACATATTGTATAATCATGTTAGTGTATCGTTGCAGCCCTAGTAATGAATATCGTAATTGATAATTTTGTTTGTATAGCGCACTAAAGTACTGTCACACCATGTATACGCCTGATTTGTTTACCTTTGAACAGGTACGCTGGCCCAATGGTCACATGAATTCATATAAGTATGGTTGTGAAGGAATGTTTGATGTCAAAATCTGGTATGTATATAAAATTTATTTTTGATAACAATTTTTTTTCAACCCTCATGGACCTCAATTTGAAAATGATGAATGCATACATTTTTAATATCTTGGTAATAATATCGAATTTGATTTCTTAAATCCAATGTTTTTATTTGCAATTGAAACATTCATTGATACAGAATCAAAAGAATAGAAGATTCTTTTTTGAATTTTCTTTAAAATTTGAGATTGTTTAATTATGTAGTGCCTAATTAACTGGAACAATTTTATATTCCTGTTGACAAGAAATACACCTTTCCAAGGTCAAATCCCAGTTCAGAACTCTTTGTTATTGCCGAACTTTTCACATATTTCCTCGGTCTCAAGAAAACGTAAGTTGAGTCAGTGCGGAACAGTGTACACACACTCGTGTTTTACAGAGGTAGTGTATTGACAAAGCACATTCATAGGCCAAAAATACATCAATTGAAAAATTAATGACCTCTGACTCAATATCAAGATAATGATAACTACACTTATGTTGTTGGGTTTTTTGTATGATTAATTCATGTTTTACATTTCTAGGCACCCAGAGGATAACTATTCTGGAACAGCTCTCACTGGCTCACCATCTGCCCCGCCGTCATCTTCTATTACACCTTATAGTCCCCCTACTCCTCTTAATCTCAAACTGCCCTCCCTTTCTATCCCTGCCCCTGTCTCTGTCCCCACACCTAAGTCTGACCCTACCACGACCCCTCCCTTCCATCCTTCCCCTTCGTCTATAACCTCTCCTGCTCCTGAGCCTTGCCACCTTCCTACAGACAAGCTGGCATCTACTCAGATATCTGGAGAGGAACCCTCCCTTACGAATATCTCCATGCAAGGATTTGTAGGAAGTCCTGAGAGCAACAGGGATATATTTCGATCTATAGAGCATGAGGTCAAAGACGATGAATTATTCTCTTGTGAATTAGAGTCCACACCCCCTGTTGATGAGATACAGGCTGGTGGAAAAAGTGCTGAATCCAATCTGAAACTTGAAAAGATGACAGACAGCTGTGATTCAAATCTGATAGGTTTGTATTTTACTTACATGATATATTGTTTGTTTTCGTATTATGGCATTTTTTTTTGTTTGTTTGTTTAATTGTGACTGGCGTATTGTAATACATATTGTATTGTGACTGGAGTATTGTTATACATATTGTATTGTGACTGGAGTATTGTGACTGGAGTATAGTTAAACATATTGTATTGTGACTGGCGTATTGTTATACGTATTGTATTGTGACTGGAGTATTGATATACATATTGTATTGTGACTTGAGTATTGTTATACATATTGTATTGTTACTGGAGTATTGTTATACATATTGTATTGTTATTGGAGTATTATGACTGGTGTATTGTTACTGGAGTATTGTTATACATATTGAATTGTTACTGGAGTATTGTTATACATATTGAATTGTTACTGGAGTATTGTGATACAAATCATATTAATACTTATGTGTATCCATACTTGTGTATTGTGACTTGTGTATTATGACTGATGTATTGTGACACATAGTGAATTGTGACTTTTGTATTGTGACGTGTGTATGGTGACTTGTGTATGGTGACTGGTGTATGTTGACTGGTGTATTGTGACTTGTGTTTTGTGATTTGTGTATGGTGACTTGTGTATTGTGACTTGTGTATGGTAACTTGTGTATTGTGACTTGTGTATGTTGACTTGTGTATGTTGACTTGTGTATGGTGACTTATGTATGGTGTCTTGTATATTGTGACTTGTGTATGGTGAAAGGTGTATTGTGACTTGTGTAAGGTGACAGGTGTATTGTGACTTGGGTATGGTGACTGGTGTATTGTGGCTTGTGTATGTTGACTTGTGTACGGTGACTTATGTATGGTGTCTTGTGTATTGTGACTTGTGTGTGTTGACTTGAGTATGGTGACTGGTGGATTGTGACTGTTGTATTGTGACTTGTGTTTTGTGGTTTGTGTATGGGGACTTGTGTATGGTGACATGTCTATTGTGACTTGTGTATGGTGCCTTGTGTATGGGGACTGGTGTATTGTGACTGGTGTATTGTGGCTTGTGTATGTTGACTTGTGTATCGTGACTGGTGTATTGTGACTGTTGTATTGTGACTTGTGTATGTTTACTTGTGTATGGTGACTTATGTATTGTGACTTGTGTATGGAAACTTGTGTATTGTGACTTTTGTATGGTGACTTGTGTTTGGTGACATGTGTTTGGTGACTTTTGTATTGTGACTGGTGTATTGTGACGTGTGTATGGTGACTTGTGGATTGTGACTTGTGTATGTTGATTTGTGTATGGTGACTGGTGTATTGTGGCTTGTGTATGGTAACTTGTGTTTTGTGACTTGTGTATGTTGACCGGTGTATTGTGACTTGTGTATAGTGACAGGTGTATTGTGACTTGGGTATGGTGACTGGTGTATGTTGACTGGTGTATTGTGACTTGTGTCTGGTGACTGGTGTATTGTGACTTCGGGTTTGTGATTTGTGTATGGTGACTTGTGTATTGTGGCTTGTGTATGTTGACTTGTGTACGGTGACTTATGTATGGTGTCTTGTACATTGTGACTTGTGTATGGTGACCGGTGTATTGTGACTTGTGGATGTTGACTTGTGTATGGTGACGTATGTATGGTGTCTTGTATATTGTGACTTATGTATGGTGAAAGGTGTATTGTGTCTTGTGTATTTTGACTTGTGTATGGTGACTGGTTTATTGTGACTGGTGTATTGTGACTTGTGTATGATGACAGGTGTATTGTGACTTGTGTATGGTGAGTTGTGTTTGGTGACTTGTGTATTGTGACTGGTGTATTGTGACTTGTGTATGGTGACTGGGGTATGGTAACTTGTGTATGGTGACTTGTGTATGGTGACTGGTGTATTGTGACTTGTGTATGGTAACTTGTGTATTGTGACTTGTGTATGTTGACTTGTGTATGGTGACTGGTGTATTGTGACTGGTGTATTGTGACTTGTGTTTTGTGATTTGTGTATGGTGACTTGTGTATGGTGACTTGTGTATTGTGACTTGTGATTTGTGATTTGTGTATGGTGACTTGAGTATGGTGACTGGTGTACGGTAACTTGTGTATGGTGACTGGGGTATGTTGACTGGTGTATTGTGAATTGTGTATGTAAAGGAACAAATCGCCTTGCAATTCCAGCTCCAATACACACTAACCTGTCTATGTTAACACAGGTACCCCCTCTCCAGGTACAAGCCTAGTACCTGACTATGGAAAGTATTGTTATTCATATTGGATTGTGACTGGAGTATTGTGACTGGAGTATAGTTATACATATTGTATTGTGACTGGGGTATTGTGACTTGTGTATGGTGACTGGTGTATTGTGACTTGTGTATGTACAGGAACAAATCGCTTTGCAATTCCAGCTCCAATACACACTAACCTGTCTATGTTAACACAGGTACCCCCTCTCCAGGTACAAGCCTAGTACCTGAATATGTAAAGAAAAAAATCTCCTGGCAATTCCAGCTCCCAGATGACACCTGGAAGGCATACCCCGACGATGTCTCTTGTCGTATTGAGGAAAGATACAAAAAAAACGACAAGACAACATTGGTCTCAATCACTACTTCAGGGATATTAAAAAAGTGAGTATAATTTTCATTACCATACATATATAATTAGTTACTGTATATTTTTGGAGTACTTTTATATTGGAACATTCGTTACATTTCTTTGATCCACATATATATATGCACTGAAAACTAGAATATCAGGTATTTTTCACGAGTATCCAATATTATGCTTTATTTAAAAAGTGACGAAATCACAAAAAATTGAATGTAAACCTTTGATCATATACCGTGAAGAGAAGGCATATAAAAGGTATAACTTCAAAAGCAGAAATTTTATTTTTAAAATCATCTAAAATTTGCATCATTTAGTGCCTACATAAGTATTCATCTCATGTGTTAATGACAAAATATAGCATAGATATCTAAGTATGCATATTGGGATAGTTTTAGCAAAATTTGGCAGGCTCAAACACTATTGACTAAATACTTAGCTTTGTGTAAATACCATCAGATCTGCAGTGAGATCAAGTCAAAATTCTGTAGGTCGTCTGTGACATATAAACTTATGACACAGACGGGTCACAGGGGTAGTCGGATGGTGCAGTGGATAGCGCACTTGCCTTTTACCAAGGCGGCCAGGGTTCGATTCTCCAACCGGACGTGAAAGGTATGGGGTCACCTGATGTCTGACCATGCATGTTTTTGCTGGGTAGTCCAGTTTCCTCCCACATAAAGAACCCTGTGTGCGAATATCCGGGCAAAAAAGAGTGATAATCATTAATATAAGTTGTAATAACTTGTGTCATAATTTTTGTAAAATAAATAAAGTTTAAATTTGAATACTTTTTTGATGTCTTTATGCTAGGGATCAAAGATGTAAAAACCTCATGAAAAGATTGCTGAGAGGCGGATCCAACGGGGGG